CTCTAAAAAAAAAGGCGTCTAAACCATATGAAACATAGTGGATATTGAAGCAATTTACAATAGATTGCCTAAGGTAAGACATTTCTTAGCATAATACATTGAAGAACTATATATCTCATATTATTCCATAAACTTAAAATTGCTACTACAAGCCGATTTGGAAATAATGGTTACAAACAATAAACAGTAAAGCGGATGTGGAATCCAGTTAATAGAAATCAAGGATGGATAGACTACATTGACTTCATTTTTAGGGACCCATTTTGGTCATATGTGGAAAAAAAGAATATTTGTATCTGACCAAGGAAGCATGTACAGTTCCATTCTAATTGGGTTTAGCTTTATTTTGTTGGGTTTTTTTTAGGTTTCCACAGGACTAATTAGCATATCAAGCAACTTGTCTGAGGCCATTTAGCTGTGAGCCCCTAAAGAAGCTAAAGGTAGCATCGTGGTCCTGAACCAGACCTTAAATATTCACGGCACTGTGGACACATGGTTTGACTGAGCTTGTGCAGGGATGTTTTATTTTAAATAGTTTGTCATAGACTGAAACATAAATAGAATAAATGCAAATTTTATATTCAGAAAGATGCTAATTATATGACGTGGAGTCATGAGTCATATCTTCACTATACTGGTTTTGTCCTCTCAGTGTACACAAAATTCCTGGGAAGATTCAAATCTTATTCCTTATAAAAACACTGCTCCTCTGGAATCAAAATTCCGTAGGCATGTGACTTTAAAATATAGGGAAAGGCAGAAACTAGAGAAAATGAAGTAACAGTGCACAAAACTAGGTAGGGAACCACCAATAACTGGACAAGAATTTAACAGATATACCCTTTCCTCCAGACTGTTACATTTCCATTATATTTTTTATAAAATGGAAAATTCCAAGTACTCATTAAAATGCCAACTCCCATGTACTGAGAAAGTACTACCTTCCAGGCGCTATCCAAGAGAGGCAATTATGTCTCATAACCTGGTTATTAAGCAGTTCTAGTTTCATAGAAAGAAAATAAAGTAACAAATTTTGCAACCAGAAAAAAACTTTTAAAAAGTAAGGTAGCTTTTGTTTCTTTGCAACAGTGGCAAACAAGAAGATTCTAAACTGCAACAGAATATTACACGATTGAAAAATCCTATACCTATTAAAATTCACCAATTCATTTACCAAATATTTCCTGAAAACCTCCAAAATATATTTATAGAAATATATTTACAGTATTCTTTACTGAAAATTAGGTGGCATGTAGCATATTAAAGTTTGGGAGTATCAATGCATAGATATGAGCATATTCATAAGATAGCAGTCTAAACCCATGTGGAGTATACTGGATAACTTCTTGATAGGACTTGTAACTCTGTTTTTTTGTTATATAGCTCATAATTTTTTCAAAATTAACATGTTAAAGTTAATTGTAAGATAGAAAAGGGAATAAACAAAATTCTTGAGTCTGTGTAACAGTTCATAACTATAATAGCTGTCTATGAACATTCTAGATGGTAAATGGATATAAAAATTTAAATAGTATGAGTTCATTTATTATGGTATTAAATGAATTCTAAACACTGCTTTGACATAATCATAGAATCTGTATTTTGAGAAATGAAAGAATGGATTTTATGCAATTGTTTTGAATATGGAGGAACTTAAAATATAAATATATGTCTCACTTACTGATTCTTACAAGTGAAGAGAAAACATTGTAGGAAACCAGGCATTAAAACAGTGTGGGATTGTTGCCCAAAGTGCAAGGCTTCCCATTCAAGCTGTGTTGGAGAATGCAGCTTACCCAGCAACCTGAATAGAATTCCTATTTCTTCTTCTCGAGTCTAGACAGGAAACTGCCTGGGAGAATGGGTTTCTCAGAGACCACATTATGTTGCAGGCATGGGTGACCACAGTTCATGTTGCACAATTCCAGGACAGAAGAAAGAACTTCAGAGAGAGGGCAGAGTCCCAGGCTTGCTATAGTGCCCGTCCTAGGTACCGGAATCTGCTCCTCCAGAGGAGGCATTTCCCCTTCCACGTGAATCATAATGACAGTGTAGTGGGCAGAAAAACGAGAAGCAAAGCCCCTCGTATTTATCCCAGGTGGGAGTAAATCTGGAACCCCACTCCCATTGAACCAAGATAGATAAGGAAGACTTAGTCCTAAAAGAACTGAGCACATTTCTGCCATTGAGTTCCATGCTGTCCCGTGGCACTGGGATGCAGGGAATGTGATGTCCCATCATGCCTCACCATCTAATTGCAGAAGAATGTGATGTGTCCGACAAAACGGAGTGCCAGAGGAAATGAAAGCCTAAATGTGACAACGGAGGGTGAGAGAAGCACAAAGAACAGCCAGATTCATTCACAACAGCGGAGTGATGAAGTCAGCCCTCTGGCTGGTCAATAGATGGACGGGTAGATAAGGGTCCTATACCGCTTTATTCAGTCATAAGGAAGAGCAACATTGGGTCATTTGTCCAAAACTGGAAGGAAATTGAGACTATCATCTTAAGCTAAGAAGCCAGACTCAGTCAAGCATTGCATGTTTTCTCTCAAACGTGCAATCTAGGAGATAAAAAAGTGTGGGGGCAACTGTTAGGAAAGATGAGGGGGATCCAGATGAGATCAGGGAAATAAAAGAGGGTAATGGGGACAAATACGAACAAAGTATGCTTCGTGTGTATATAAGATGTCACAGTCCCGTCGATTTTACAGTTAGCTAGCTAAAGGATGTCAAAGAGGGGATAAAAGGTGGCCAGTGACAATATTTCTCTCAGAACTAAGTCTTGATGATATACTTGGATACACTGGGAAAGAGAAAACATTCTGAAGAAAGGAGGAAGGAGCAAGGAAATTCCAGACTAGGGAGGTCACCATCTTCTGTGCAGGCAATAAGAGCATGCAAGAGGAAGAGGTAAAGTGGGAGAAACATGGCGGGGTGGAGCCTGGCTCCTGGAGGGCTCTGAAAGCAAGACAGACACATGGGGGCTGGTTTCATTGTTTTAACCTGTTAGTATTAGCCATATGTCACAGCACCATGTGGGGGTCAGAGGACAGCTTTATGGAGCCAGTTTTCTTGTTCCACTTTTATGTAGATTCCCAGGACAGAATTTAGGTCACTGGGCTTGGCTGGAAAGTTCCTTTACCGTTGGAGACATCTTGTTAGCCCAGAGATCTGACTAAATAAGAAATAAATATGTTTTTTCTACCATTACTCCCCATATCATCAAAACTAAGAGATCACTCTCCAAAATATTCCGTCAGTATATATAACATACATATATATGTATATATGTGATATATATATATATATATATATATTCCTCTTGAGACAAATTACAGTGTCCCCATGCACCCTTCTGCCAGCCCTGAGTAAGCAAGTCATACCATAGTCACTTCCATTATATATACATAATTTTTTTGTTTTGTTTGTTTTTCAAAACAGGGTTTCTCTGCATAAAATCCCTAGCTGTTCTGTTCTGTGGACCAAGCTATGCTCAGACTCACAGAGATCCTCTACCTCTGCCTCCTGAGTGCTGGGATTAAAGGCATGTGCCACCACCTCCCAGCATAAAATCTTTTAAGACAAAATGTAATGCAATATAAAACACCTTGCATATTTCTATTATTGAAGGTATTTTTCAGTGATCTGTAATTACATGCAGTTCTATTTTGTTTAAATTAGAAAAATTTATAAGAATAAAATGACCTTTTCAATAACAGCAGAATGCCTACAAATTCATGGAAAATGAACAACTCTCTACGGAGTTACCCCTGAGTCAAGGAAGAAACAAGAAAGGAATTGAAGATTTTCTAGAATTCAGTGAAAATTAATGCACAGCATATCCAAACTTATGGGACATTATGAAAGTTATGCTAAGAGGAAAGTGCAGTGATATCTCATTTGTATTTTAATAAATAAAGCTTGCCTGAAGATCAGAGAGTAAAACAGCCACCCTGGTCAGCCTTACAGACCAGGCAGTGGTGACACACACCTTTAATCCCAGTTGCCACAGTAGTTTGCCATAGAAACCAGGAGGTAGTGGTGCACACCTTTAATCCCAGCACTAGAGAGGAATATAAGTGGGAGGAGACAGCTCTCAGGCTCAGTCTCATTCTAAGAATTCCTTGAGGAAGGATCACCATTTTTGGACTGAGGTAGAGGTAAGAGTCAGTGGCCGGCTGCTTTGCTCTTCTAGTCTTCAGATTGAGCCCCAATATCTGGCTCTGGGTTTTTATCAATCGTGATACAGAAAGTTCGTAGCACTGAGTGCCTACATAAAGAAATTAGAGAATTCTCATACCAGTGACTTAACAGCACACCTGAAAGATCTAGAAGAAAAAGAAGCAAACTCACCCAGGAGGGGCAGACAGAAGAAAATAATCAAACTCATTGAAACAAAAAGAACAATACAAAGAATCAATGAGCCAGGCGGTGGTGGCGCACGCCTTTAATACCAGCACTCAGGATGCAGAGGCAGGCGGATCTCTGGGAGTTTGAGGTCAGCCTGGTCTACAAGAGCTAGTTCCGGGACAGGCACGAAAGCTACAGAGAAACCCTGTCTCGGGGGGGGGGGGGAGAATCAATGAAGCAAAGAGTTGATTCTTTGAGAAAATCAACAAGACAGACAAATCCTTATCCAAAATAACTAAAAGGCAGAGAGAGAGAGAACCTCCAAATTCACAAACTTCAAAAATGGGGCATAACAACAGACACTGAAGAAATCCAGAGAATAAAATGACCAAACAATCTGGTGTTAGAGGAGTATTTGTGTGAGGGTGTGTGTGTGTGTGTGTGAGGGTGTGTGTGTGTGTGTGTGTGTGTGTGCGTGTGTGTGTGTGTGTTTCAAATCAAGACAATAGAAGCCATGGTAGAACAAGAAATAAAACCTCTATCAAAACAAATGGTAATGTTGCTAAAACTAATGGGAGAACTGACCTGTCAATAACGTGATTTTGCTCCTCAGTCAAAACTGAAAGAACTCTTCTTCATCCAGAGACCATGAAAGTAAAACAAATTGCAGTCATTGGTGCCGGAGTCAGCGGACTGGGTGCCATTAAGAGCTGCTTGGAGGAGGGACTTGAGCCTACATGCTTTGAACAGAGCAGTGATATTGGAGGACTATGGAGATACGAGGTAATTTTATAAGTTATATTCTCATGAAGTATAATGATATTTGTGCATGAGACAGAGAGAGAAAGACACTTTCTAACACAAATTAGGCCACAGAAATTTTAAACAATGTAACTATTCTTTACGAAGTAGCATTTTTGTCTATTCAGATAAACTTGAAACTTCTCCAGTACATGAAGAATTGTTCTCCATTTCCCATGGCTTTCTAGTCCGTGCAACAACATAACCGAGGAAAGTGACTTAGAAGCACAGATGCACTTTGGCTCATGATTTCCTGTACTGTGGTCCATCAGGGCAGGGATGCCATGACTGAGTTGAGCAGCTCACATCAAGGCAGGCAGAAAGCAAAAGAAATGCTTGCGTGGAAGGGCTTTCTTCCAATCAGGCCACCAGCCTATTAAATAGGCCCACTCCTATCCATGGTAGGCCTTCCCCTTGGCTAAACTTCTCTGGATATGCCTTCACATGTGAAACCAGAGATGTGTTTTATTAATTTCCTAGGTTCTTCCTAAGCCAATCAAACTCATTTCATCCTTTGCAAGTTTCTCACCACAAATCCCTTCTATAGTTTTCATTTTATTTTTTTGTGTTTCAAGAATTGATTATCTTATTTTTAGAATGACTGAATTACTGGTATCACTTTGGATCTGATGCCGTCATACAATTGAGTAGTATTACAAAACCCAACAATGACAAGAATTTTCAATAGCACATAAACCCAACATCACAACTGTCATTCTCAAACTCAGTGTGCATTGTTTCCTCAATTTCTGGAAGCCCAGGGTTGGTGTGTTTCCTTTAGGAGATACCAGAAAGTGGAAAGCCTGGGATATACAAATCTTTGACCTGCAATACGTCCAAGGAGATGACAGCCTTCAGTGACTACCCCATCCCCGACCATTACCCCAACTACATGCACAACTCCAAAATGATGGAGTATCTCAGGATGTACGCCAAGCACTTCGGGCTCTTAAAACACATCCAGTTCCAGGTAAGACATGAAACCCCACCGACAGCCTGCTCAATGGTCAAGGCAGAGACTGCACTGCCAGAGCCAGCTGGGGCACAGCTTCATCTGCATTTTCCATCCCTGTCTCTGTCACCTACACGATGAGTGAAGATATATCTCAGTATTAACTTTTCCTTACGTAGAAGCCTTGCTGCAAGGGTTGTCCCTAAAGTCTTGTTTCCAATTAATTTTACAAAAAGTAAAATGTGAGATGGATTGGGGGATGGGGAGGTAGTGTAATATTTTCTCAACATTTCCCAACTCTTGAGAAAGAATACTTTTATTGATTTTGTATTAAAATCCTGAAGAACCAGGAACTTTGAGCAGAAGTAATAATGGGTTTCTTTATCGAAACACAAAATGTCCGGGTTATAAGAAAGAAGCAGAAGACAGGAAGCAGTGTTGTAGGATTAGCTGTTCCGCTTGCTTCTCGTTTCCTAGACAAAGGTGTGCACAGTGAGGAAGCGCCCTGATTTTTCATCCTCTGGCCAGTGGGACGTTGTGGTGGAAGCTGATGGGAAGCAGAAAGCTTACATCTTTGATGGGGTCATGGTCTGCAGTGGTCACTACACTGAGAAGCATCTGCCCTTACAGGATTTTGCAGGTATCTAAGTGAATGAGGTACAAGGATATTGCAAGCGTTGCATTGCCTACATGGTCACAAACATTGGCGAATGGGGTTTTGTTTTCATTTTGGGGGTTTGGCTTTGTTTTGTTTTTATGCAGAATGGTTATTGAGGAAGGCACTTTCTTAAAAATCAGGAAAGATCTGGCAATAGAAACAACAATGAAACTGGGAACTAGAGTTCCTCCAGCAAGCGAAGCCTGGAGAAGGGGCTTTCTGGAAAAGAAACCATATGAGAAGCAGTGGGTGGAAGACTATGAACTTAGAGAATTGACACACGTTTGAGGTGGCTGGCCAAGAAGAGTATGGAAGGCCTGTGGAAAACGATTGAGGGAGATAGAAAGTGATGTGTGTCAGTCTGTCGTCTGTCTGTCAGTCTCACTGACTGCCTATGTGTGGAGAAGATACCTGATCATATTTTTATATCATAAATATAGAGAACTCAAATTTGGTTCCCAGAACCCATGTCAGGTGGCTCATAACTGTCTGTAACTCCAGCGCCTTGGGATCCAACACAATTTTCTGAATTCCCCCGGCAGCTGAACTTATGTGCATATATTCACATGTGCACACACACACAAAAAAAAATAAAACTTAAAAATAATAATAGAAATTACCATTTCTATCTATTTTAAGTGACTGTTACAAAGTCGATTATGTGATTTGCATTTAGTTTCTTTGGAACAACAGTTTTTGTTGCATATGGGAAGGGTCTGACTTATTTGTGAAATGCATAATCAGAGTCACAGAAGAGTGATGAACAGTTGCACATACAGAGACAGAGAGAAATGAAAAGTCAACGGCCTCCTCTTGCTACGTGAGGATCGTATTGAGCAAACTTAAAATGGGACATTCTAAGAGAAGCATTCCTGTGCTTTGATTCTGAACTTGGTCACAGAGTTGCTGCTAATGAATATTTCTTTCCTTGGATAACCTTATGCTGTAATATTGGTAATAAATGGCCAAGAACGGAGAAGGGGGTTACATAAATAGGAACTTAAAGTGTAAGAATAAGATTTTCTCCTGTGTCCATTTTCCACTTCTGCTTGTGACTTCGGGGATTTGGCTCTTCCTTCACAGGAATCACCCAGTTCCAAGGCAGCTATATTCACAGCTGGGAATACAAGAACCCAGATAGTTTCATGGGGAAGAGAGTGGTCGTGATTGGCATTGGGAACTCTGGAGCAGACGTGGCAGGCGAGATCAGTCATGTTGCTGAACAGGTTTGGTGTCCTACCCTGCTTCCGCTCCTGGGTGTAACATTGATACCTGCAGAGAAACGTGAGTCTAGGCTTTCTCTCTGGCTTTAGTGGTGGTGTTCCCATTTGGGCTAAAAGCTGAGAAAGGCAATTATGCATTATTTTCTTCTGGATATATATGAAGGAAATAATTTAAAAAGTACCTAAATAATGATATCTTTCTACAAAATAAATGAGCTGCAAAAGATAACAAACTAGGGTCAATTACCAGCATTATCTGCATGTCGCTACACTAGGAGAAAAGCATTTAAAAACTAAAATTAAATCTACAGAAAAATCTCAAGTGTTCCCAGTAGGCATGATTTTACAGAGAATGGTATGCGTGGACATGAATAAAGTACTCTGCTGATTTATGAATGAATAGCTAAGCACAGAGCAGCAAGCCCATGAGATCTTACTAACTAAGAGGAAGAAGAAGCAAGCAGCCCTCTCGAGTGCAAATGCTGCTGACTTCTGAAGAGTGTGGAAGGTCGCTTCCTGTCATTTAAAATTAGTCTTTGAGATTCATTCAAGATAGCCACCAGGAACATGTGAGTTTTCAAACAGCGGATGCTTTCTGCCCACATAGACTGTAATCACCCACTCTGTGGTCTACTGACTCACACCAAGCTTTGTGTAGATAATACGAGCCATGATTCATAAATCTCTGTGATTATGACCTTGCAAGAGAATGATTGTGTCTTCGCTAAAAAGCTGCAGCCTTCTTCAGTTAAATGACTCAAAGTAGCAAAGTAGGGAGCAGAGCTCATTCTCATAATTCTGGGCTTGTGACCTTTTACTATTTACATGGAATTGTCCATCTGCAAATAGGAGAGCATCTGCAGTGCTCATTTCCCCATTTCACTGCTGTTGTTACTATGTGCTTTGTATTCTTTCTCTCCATCGCTGTGGATTACAGAATGACACAGGGAGCAGGTGGGTGAACTTTTAACTCCCAGGGTAATCAGTTGTTGGGAATAAAGTCTTCACATCTGGGGCCTAACACGTTTCAGACATCGGGCACAGGTAGGGGAAGAAAGACCCATGACGAGCTGTAAGCGAACTGAAAAGGGGCTGAGTTCCTGGGCCTGTTCACAGTGTGAGAGGAGAGAAGTAGGTAGGCGGGTGAGGTGATGTGGGCAGTTAACCCTACCTCCTTGGTAATTAAAAAGCAAAACTATCAATACAGATCAATATGATTAGAAACAAGAGGCTTACTTGGCGACCACCCCTCTATGCAGGTTTTCCTCAGCACAAGACGAGGGACGTGGATATGGAACCGAGTTTGGGATAACGGGAATCCTCTGGACACCACCCTCTTCACTCGTTATAATAGAATCATGGGAAGGCTCTATCCCACATTCTTGATAAACAGATGGGCAGAGAATAAATTAAATGCAAGATTTAACCATGCCAATTACGGACTGCAGGCTAAACACAGGTAAGATCCAGACAGCATTTAAGACAAACAAATATTTTTTAAGCTGCTACAGCAGGGCTGAGGAGATGGTCCAGCAGTTAGTAGCCCTTAATGCTCTTACAGAAGACCAGAATTCAGTTCCAAGCACCCACATCTAGAGGCTGACAACTGCCTGTAGCTCCAGGTCCTGGGGATATGATGCCTTCTTGTGGTCCCCAAGGACGCTGCAACCCCCTACCCCCCAAACCCTCAACACACAAACATACACAATTTAAAACAAATTATTTTTAAAAAATCACCATGCCCGTCAGTTGTTGTATAAGGTAGGTTTGTGGAATAGTAACGAAAGGGTGGCATTCTAAGTCTCAATGGAATTGACTTTAATTGGGAATACTGAAGCCGTTTCCTGAGAACCAGGAACTGAGACGATTCTACTGAGAGAGGAAAGGATGCCCGTGGGGAATACATTGGTGAAGCAGCTAAGTTCCATCTCTAGTCTTCTTCACCCTGCCTTGCTGTGTCACTTCACACCATCACTAACTCTTGCACTATCACCTGTCCACAGCTTCCTATTCATCTTTTAGATTTAAACTTATGGTTCCATAGTAACCTTCAAGCCTGTTACCAGCTAGGACAATCTGCACCTATCCATGTTTCTGATCACTCTGTACTCAGGCAGTGCAGGTATATCTGAATTCAGCTGATCTGGTCTACTCTTCCATCATCCCGTCGACCGCTTACACCATCCACACTCAGCACCAAATGAAACCATACATCCCAGGGCTATCGTGGTTTCAGATGCTGTCTGGGGATCCAGTCTCTCTTCCTCCTCACACCCAACCCAGTCTTCTCACCCCTCACTCTTCACTGGTTCTTCCAATTCCACAGATATCTTCCTTCATTTGACTTCTCGATGCTTTACCCCAACCTGACATTTAGAGCTTGGTGTCATCCACGTGGTCTTTCTTGGCCCTCATTCTGTAGACAGAAGTTTCTGTTCTGCCTGGTCCCACAGCCATTCAGTCCCATAGAAACAGAGACTCATATTATTTATAAACTGTTTGGCCTATTAGCTCAAGCTTTTTATTAACTAGCTCTTACAACTTAAATTAACCCATAATTCTTGTCTATATTAGTCACATGACTTGGTACCTTTTATCAGTAAGGCATTCTCATCTTGCTTCCTCTGCATCTGGCTGGTGACTGCAGAATGAGCCTTTCTTCTTCCTGGAATTCTCTTAGTCTGGTTGTCCTGTCTATACATCCTGCCTGGCTACAGGCCAACCAGCATTTTATTAAACCAATACGAGTAACAAATCCTTACAATGTACAGGCGCATCTCCCGCATCTCCCATAGTATCTGTTACCAGAGGGAGGACCCTCATTCGTTCCTGACTGCTCAGACCCAAAATAATCACTCAGAAACTATATTATTTGCAATACTGTTTGGCCAATAGCTTAAGCATATTTCTGGCTTACTCTTATATCTTAAACTAACTCATTTCTATTATTTTACATTTTACCTTGAGGCTTGTGGTCTACCAGCAAGGTTCCAGCTGGCAGCTTGTGTCTTTCCCCTCTGGCAGCTCCATGGCATCTCCCTGACTCTGCCTGTTCTCTCTATATCTCTTCCAGCCTGGCTATGTTCTGCTAAGCCATTGGCCAAAAGCAGCTTCTTTATTCATTTAATTCAATAAAAGCAACACATAGACAGAAGGACTTCCCACATCAAGTATCTTCCCTTCTCACATGACATCAGTTTCTATATTTAAAAAAAGATAAGTAAACCAGGCATAGTAGATTATGCCATGATCTCAGCACTCTGGAGGCTAAGGCTAAAGGATTATCCTAAGTACAAATGCAGCTCACGCTAAACAGTGCATTCCAGACCACTCTGAGCTATAGAGTAAGAACCTGCCTAGTTTTATGGTATTGGGTGTGTAATCCTGGTAAAAGAAGATAGTTGATAGATGTATCAACTATGAAGCAATTTGAGAATAGGGCTTTCTGTAAGGAATTTGTAACTCAAACCTTACAATTACCAAATATTAGTGTGTCACTAAGCACAAGTACTTCCCAGTGATGATTTAATATTAAAGTCTTTCAGGTGTACTTTGCAGACCCTTGAAGGAGACTGATAACCAATTTATGTCAGCTTTTACATGATCCCAATCACAAATGCCCAAAGCCAACATTGAAGAACTTTACTTCTGGTAAAAATCCCATTATCTAAATATAGTGTTATCGTGATTTGATTAGTGAGGTCTGATTTGATTAAGTCATTATGACCATCTGACAAATTTGGAAACTGATGATAAGGTGTTTTTATGACCTGTCCAGAAAGTCACAGCAAGGAATAGCAGAATAAGTGTAAAGTCCATTCTGCCTCCAAAATCTGGTTCTTCACCAATAAACACTATAGGTATCCAGGGAGGGTAATAAATGATATTAAAATGATTGAAATACTGCTGTGGTTTTCTAATTGCTTACAACCTCAGCTTCCTTATGGAAATATTTGCCCTCATTCTGCACTATTATGCTCCTGAACACACAGATTTCTCAGCCATCAGTCTATCTTCGGTGACGATCTGCCAAATCGCATCATTACCGGGAAAGTGGTGATCAAGACAAACGTCAAAGAGTTCACCTCGACATCCGCCATCTTTGAGGATGGTACTGAGGAGCCCGTGGATGTTGTTGTCTTTGCCACAGGCTACACCTTCTCTTTCCCTTTCTTGGATGACAACTCTGAAATCCTGGACAGCAAACACACAATGTTTAAATTTGTCTTCCCTCCTCAGTTAGAGAAGCCGACACTAGCTTTCATTGGCATCCTCCAGCCAGTGGGAGCCACCATTCCCACGTCAGAGCTCCAAAGCCGATGGGTTGTGCGTGTGTTCACAGGTACGATGGTCCTCCTAAAAAGCAACTGTGCCCCCGACCACGCACTCAGGTAGTGAGGGCACATGGTTTTCTCTTCTACCTCCTCCCTATTCTGCCAAGGCCAGAGGTGTAGCTCAGGGGTAGAGCACTTCCCTGGTTCCCCGTGATTCTAGCTCTGGTTGATCTTTAGCATTTAAATCCCTCAGCTGACTTGGGATTCTGTTGTCAGAGTGGCTAATAGCCCTGTTCTATTGGAAAAGGGGCGCTGGGGGCTAACAATTTTTCATGGGAGTGTCCCTTTACTTGTAGGAACATCCTAGGTGTCCCTCCTGTGAGCCATGTATCTTATTCATAGTGGCAAACTATTTTATGTGTGGTTTTTTTTATTTTAATGTTTTGTTTTCTTTTATTATATGTATGTGTGTGTGCCTGAGTGTGTGGATGCGTGCCAGGTACATGAGGGTGCTCACAGAACCCAGGGGAGTTTCCTGAAATTGGAATTATAGATGGCCACAAGTGGCCAAATGTAGATGCTAGGAGCTGAACCTGGATCTTCTCGAAGAGAAGCAAGTGTTCTTAACTGCTGAGCCACCTGTCATCTCCTCTTCTGGCTTTCGCTTGCGTGTCTGCCCCACGATCACTATGGCACCATGAGCCCAACTTTACTTTCTCTCTGCTGTTCTGCCATAAGGAAAACCTGCTACTCTGTAAGTTAACTAAACACTTTTTAAAGGAATGAAAAGGTTTAAGGTAATGGATAAGTTCATTATTCCAAGCTTATTATTACCCCATATATACATGAATCAAAGTATCATACCGTATTTCATAAATATATGCAAATATTATGTATTTTTTTCAAAAAGCCATATTAAGATGAGTGTTTATAGTCATGAATTTTAAGCATAGCTTTAAACTAAAAAATAACAACCCCTCCAAAAAAATATTTTTCTTAAGAGAAAACTGACTCCTCTTGCTGACAGCCTAAAACTGATTGTAGGGAATGGCCTTCTGAGACGTTTTCTAACCATGGCTTGCACCGTGCATTCCATGGAGGCTCTACGGCTATACCCGTTCTACTTCCACGCCATCCTTTCTGTTTGCTTCTCTTACCCAGCCCTCCTGATGGTCTTTCAAAGCCTGTCTTGTTTCCTCAGGACTAAAAAAGTTACCCTCACAGAGCGACATGATGGCAGCCATCAACAGAAGGAAGCAGAAAATGCAGAAGGAGTAAGGAGCCTGGTTAGGGGCTTGGGGGGCTTGGGTTGCTGTTGTTAAAGTCAGTGAAATCTGTCTGGAGGGAATTACTCAGTTTTCTCTTCACGGGCTTTCTGCCTATGATCTGGTCTAATTGCTTTTGCTCAGCGACATACAGGGTGCATGTGTAAAAATGTCCAGCCAATGGATCATGAGGTCCCACAGTAACTGAACCACCTCGGAACACCCTAGTCTATAGCAGTGTCCAAACAAACAGACCAAACAAACAAACAAACAAAAACCAGGAAGCAGTCACTGACTCCTAGTAAGAACTATGGTCAAACAGAATATTTAATAAATATCTAAATTCAAAACCTAGGGGGAAAACAAACACTTTAACTCAATAGCTGGTAGCAAGATGCACTGTTAGTTTGAATTTTTTTATCAGCTTCTCTGGGCACATCCCTCAAGAGCACCCTGAGGAAAACCAGGAGACGTGATAAAATATTCTTATCACAACTTCATAACTTTAAGAAATGTACTTATTTTACTGTTTGATTTTCTTTTTCAAGAAACTACCTTTATTAAATATCAATTCCCCTTTTTCTGATTTCATGAATTTAATTTTTGCCTTAATTAATGGGTTATGGCAGCTCTCCTAAGCCTTGTTTCGAGTTCCCAACTACTTTTTCCTTTAGTTAGATGCCTCGTTCACGTTTTATGGTATTTTTAAAATACTCATTAGTGTCTTCTAAACATTTTGAAAAGTTTTTATAGTCTATAAATTGTCTATAATATTGGCTTTGTTTCTCTTTTACTCAAGAAAAATTTAGCCAAGGGTTTCTAGGTTTCCAAGACTGTGGAACAAGTTGCCAATGCCTAAGAGTATTCCAGGGCATAATTTGTGTCCAGAAATTACCATGTGTCAAGATACTGTGTATAGCTAGGAAGTGTTAAATGGGCAGTGGGGTTTATCATAGCATTCTCCCCAGCTCGGGGTTCTTGCCTATGACTTTTCTATAACAGAACTGGACTCTGTCTGGAAAAAGGACCTATTTTTCTCTTCAAAAATTAATCTAATCACTCATTCAACAATTTCTATACTTATGTCACTCTACTGGGCCCTGTGGGAAGATTAAAGAGGTCGATAATATATGACTTCTCCTCAAAACCTGTAGTAAAGCGTATAGATGTACAAAATGAAGATGATTTGTGAACAGAAGAGAATTAACATGCTACCAAGTAAGGGAAAAACTCACCGGAAACTCGGGGGTGAAATCTACCACAGGCATTTGAGCATCTTCTTCTCGTTCCAGGCTTGTGGAGAGTCCCAGAGGCGTACATCGCGTGCAGTTCATCGACTACATGGACGAAATTGCTTCGGAGATAGGGGTCAAACCCAACCTGCTCTCTCTCTTCCTCTGGGATACAAAGCTGGCCAAGGAGATTTTCTGGGGACCCTGCACCCCATACCAGTACCGTCTCCAGGGGCCAGGGAAATGGGCTGGGGCTCGGGGAGCCATCCTCACTCAGAGAGACCGGATCCTCAAACCCCTAAGAACCCGGGTTCTCAAACAATCTGAGGCATCACCCTCTGGTCTATTTTGGGTCAGATGTATCTGTATTGTCATTTTTCTCTTTGTTCCCGTGTTAGTTATCATGAAAGTGACATATTCCTAAGCTTACACTGACAGAGAGAGAGGTAAGCGCTTAAGAGAACCAATCATTGTTATTTGACACGCATGTAAAATGTTCATTAGACTAACTAGGGAACACATGAAGATTTAAATGAAAACCAAGTTACTCTGCTATGACTCTCCCAAGAGCTTTATAGGTAAGAGGTTTGAAGGTAACCTATTTTCTTGATTATATATATCATAGCTTATTTCTGCTTTATTTCAGAAGTGAAAGGATAGGCCTTATATGTTTTCCCAAAACAAGACGGTATGGAGAATAATTAGTGCGGTCCAATAAATGAACAATGGCTCGGGGAAGGCTAGGCCAGGTGTAACACTCAGAAGTATGTTCCATGGCCTCAGTGTACCTCCGTCCATGGTGAAATGTGTCTTTCCAGCAGAAAATCTGACCGGTCATTTTGCCTGGTCAAACAAAGCTGAAAAGTTAGTCTGTCGTTTTCCACCTCACCGCCATCCAATAAGAGGTCAACACTGCGTGGTCTTACAGACTTGAATGTGATCAGGAAAGATAATCAGAGAGACAAAGAGAGCAAAGCAGTCTCAGAGCATCTCACTGGGCGTCCAGGAGAAAGTCAGTGTCATTCAATAAAGATATCAGTGACTCTATAATAGTGGAGACTAAGGAGGCATAGACCACCTCATGGTTTTAACATGGGCGGCCGGTTTTAGGACAACTGGGCAGATCTTCATGGGCACTGTTTTACATGATCGTACTGGATTAATGATCATGTTGATGAGTGCTAAGATTATAGATAAAGATTCTCATATGCAGAAGACGCCATGGGCCAAACAAGTCGGCCATTATGGTTGATTAATTTTTAAAACGTCTTTGTGGGATGTGAAAGGGAAGTAAAAATGGAAATATATGGTGATTCTGGTGATCCTTGGTTATTAAAATGTTCACTGTATTATCCCCTCAGCTCTTTTGTAAATTTGAGAATTTCAAAATTAAAGCCATTTTAAGATAAAAGGCATTCCCGTGTGATGATGTATGTGTGTGCCACACGTAGGCCACAAATTCAGCATCTGTTTTGATTAGCCAAACCGTAAAAAGAAAACCTAGACAGATAAGTGATGAGGTTCATGAGCCATTCTGTCTAGCAAGAATGTCTTGAAGACATATGAAGACACTCACATCCATTGTGACCTGATTTCTCATCTTACAGTGAACTCAATTATGATCAATGTTTTTAGGATAGTGGGCCAATACAAACACACCCTTCAATTATCTTTTTTAACCAACGTAAATTTTAATGAACATAGGATCATAGTCTCATCATCTCTGGAATAGAGATACTTACAGCCCTGTGGTTGCTGTTTTAAATGTTGGTCTCCCTGTCTCAATATATATCAGAGTGGGGCTCCAGCCCTACTGAAGAATTGAGAAACAGTTTCCAGGTTTACAGTTTCCTGTTAGTGGTCCAGCTTCTGGCTATCCTCCTGTACTTCAGGTTGCTTTGACACATTGCTTCTACCTCCTGTAAACATTACAGATCGAATGGAAAGACATCCTGGCAGCTGAGAGCCAAGGAATATCAGTCGCAACACACAACAAACAAGAGAATTATTGGTAGGGGAAAAACCGGGAGGTGGGTGGCTTCCTTTGAACAGGATACAGGGCTTAAACAGAGTTTCTTGGGAAGGGGATGGAACTTTTCAGGATGGAGACTGGTGGGATTTCATGTCCATCAATTGAGCAATATTACATTGGGTCTCACACACAATTGGGCAATAGTGTACAGGGTGGGGGCAGGGTCCAGCAGTGATGGCAGTTAGAGCATTCTGTGGGTGGAACCTGGCAGTTAGAAGTCATGGAGGAGGGACCTGACCACATGGCTCGAGAAGCTTACACCTCTGTATCTAGTTCCTTGATGAGCTGAGCCTCAATGCCTACATTACTTTCTGTTTTCCCATGCTGTAGAGTTATGTGGACCCTTTACCATCCCCATTCCAGTTGACGTCACACCTTCACACACCCCAGGGACCAGTTTCAAGGACCACTGTTGGTGATTCAGTATAGACAAAGGAAAGTGTGTCTCAAAGACACAAGGTCAGGGCTGCTGGGGTGTCCAGGCCTCTGGGTTAGTGAGTCAAAAAGGAGAATGAGTAAGTTCTGAGTAAGAGCAGGAATTCAATTCCAGCATCAAATTCCAAGAGGCCTTGGGCAAGTTATTAATTTCTCATCCCTTGTAATATAATTTATTTAAATTAATTTCATATTATTCATTTTAATGTCTTTAGTCACCCAAAAGTTAATGTTTTAATATTTAAATGTTATAGCAAAAGTAAATGTAGTACTGGCATATCTTGAAATGTTTTTGGCTACTCTGTTCTAGACTTCATTGAATAAAGTTTTAATGGCACCATCCTTAACTCTTTCTTTACACTTAATATCTAAAAGTAAAAACTGTTGGGTTCCCAGGCTTGTATGAATTTTACCTACTGAGCTATCTCTCCAACCAATTTTTTTTTTAAATCTGAGCTTTTGCTCACATAGCAAAATACTTCACACTCAAATCAAGCACTCCAGTGATAAGTCTAGCTTTTAGGAACAGCTACTACACAAATACAGTTGATCTACGGGAGGGGGCTTCAATCAGAGAATCTGAACATGAAGCAGTTTTTTATTCAAGGTCTCCACTAACTGGATCTGCAATCTACACTGTCAAACTAACCAACCAGTGTCGCTGTCCATGTAAGTGCATTGTGTTGTCAAACATCAGTGACTGAATTAGAGGTAATTCAGAAATTGCCTTTGCCAGACAAAATGAAGGGCTATTCACAGGAGAAGTACCACTGAAGTGTGACATAAAAATATTATCAAGCAGCAATGTGCATTAACTTTAGATTAAAAACAAACCAACGTAAGGGCAAACAGAATTAAATATAATTTACATGAGGTGGTTATGGAAGATACCTGACTTTAAATCCACTCAAAAGCAGAGGCTAAAACAAGGGTTTGTATGCAGGTGGTTAATTAGGGAGGAACAGGAGGGCTGCAGAGATGGCTCATTTGGTAACATGCCTGCCGTGCAAGCATGAGGACTTGAACTCAGATCTCTCACACACATAAGAGCTAAGGGTTGTGGTACAGGACTGCAAACCTAACAGTGAGCATGCAGATCCCTGGAGCTATCTGACCAGCATCCAGCCATTCACCTAGCAGTGAGCTCTAGGTTCAGTGAGAGAGCCTGTCTCAAAAAAATCAGTATAGGAAGATGCCCAACAGCAACCTCTGCCCCCAACATGCACCCACATGCACATACATGCATGCACACACACAGACACACACACACACATGCACACACATGCGCACACAGACACACATGTGCATGCACACACACATGCACACAGACACACACACATGCATGCACACATTCATACACTCTTAGTTAATTAGTTTATAAATAGGAAAAGGAGAAGGAAGTAAGGCAACAGAAGTGACAAAAGATGGCAGAAGATTCCAATGTAAGTGTATATTATTGCTGCCAGGGTACCAGGGCTTCCAGTCACCTGTTTTGTGTAACTGTAATTACTTTCACCAAGCATGAGACACTAGATTAGCTATTGGTTCTCATCTGTTTCTAGATGAGAGTCATCCATGGGGGTGTCAGATCCTACACCCACATTGTCTAAAGCTGAGAGTCCTAGGAAGAACCTGGGGATAAAGTGAGACTCCATGGATGGATTTAAGGCAGACTCTGTCAACCTGAGGCTAGGTGAGTCCGTGTGATACCATCGCCAAAGTGGTTGGACAAAGAGATAAAGCATATGGTTCAAAATAGCAGAGTCATCTAATAGAAAAGGCCTCCCTGCTAGGACTTAAAATAAGGAGTGGACTTTGTAGCTACATGAGGTAATAACAAACAGACAGAAGGATCACATAGGCACACTTTGAATTGTGATGGAAACTTTTTGAAGAGGTGCAAACAGGGATATGCCATATTATAATTCAGCTGTTACACAGAAAATGGACAAAATAAAAGAAGCATGGAGGTGGAAAAAATGAAGATGTGAAAATATGAATGAGAACAAGGGACTAGATAGTGGATTAGAGACAACATTGCTTTCCTATACCTCCATGAGTCTGAAGCAAGGCATCACTATACCTGAGACGCATACAGTCTGGAGACAAAGAGTCAACAGGAAATAGAAACCAGGTTGCCTTTAGCAGAGAAACTACAGGCCCTAGCAAAGCACTGAGCAAAACATTAAGGGAAGAGAAGAATAACTCCCAGCATGGCTTCAAGCAAAAGGGAAAAGGAAAGCCCCAAGGCACTTCGACCAACACTGACACATTGAAAAAGTAAAGTTTGAGACAGGATATGGCCAGTCACGGTGGCGTATGCCTGTGGTCCTAACACTTGGGACATTCAAGCAAGCTCATGTGTGCCAGGTTCTCCTTACTGACTATCTAGTGTGAAGTCATCCCAGATACATGAGGACCTAGAAGTCCTCCCAAGCAGCCAAAAGAAACTGGAGAAGGATGGCCCTGTACTTCCTAGCTTGCTACTGGCACCCTAGATGGGGATCTGTTTAAGAGTCTTATAGTCAAAACTTGGGCCAACGAAAGAAAGATATGTGTTTTTACATCTTTAAACCCCAAAGACTTCATCTCCTATGCTGGACAGGGGTGCCACCCTGGGGTTCAGAGTGGACTCAGAACCTGGTCCTCACTTGAACTGGAATTCACAGACACAGATATGCTTGGATGGGGAAGTGCAATCCACACAGAGGAACACGTTGAAAAAGCTGTGGGTAGAACTGTGGTAGGAGGAAAAAACCAGCTGTGTATAAACATGAGGGTGGGGAAGAGGCCTTAGCTTAGAACTTCTGTGAGCCCAGGGCACACAGGACCAACCTGTAGCCCATCATCACTGCCATCACAGAGTGCTTGGGCATACCTGTCTTATACACTAGAGAGATTAGTGGTAGCTGCTGTCGGGGACTAGCTTCGACAAAAATACCTCTCACCAGGGTAAA